CCAACATTATTCACCATTTTCCAACAATTTACCAGATGAGACTTGTTTTTTGGATTGTGAATTGATTTTGAACACATCGTTGTTGAAGTGATGTGTCGCGTACCTTTTTGGACGGTTTGGCCGGGTGGACCCCCTTAGCACCTTCGTTTGATCTGCCAAATAGATAGGCGAAGCCTATGCCCTATGCCTTCCAGACTGCATCTTTCAAATTTGATCACGCATATTCTTGATCCATGATCCTGGATCGGGGTAGATGAGGTGTGAGGTGTTGAGTCTTTAGCCGTGCCCAGGAACTGACCGTGTTTGCTACTTGCGGCCATCCTCCTTCCTGGCTGCAGAGACTGGAGGCACTGTTCGTCGTTTGCCAACGATTCAACACATCAAGATTTGGGAGCAGCTTGATTGGAGATGGTTTCTTCTTTTTCACCAGACCCAGAGTATGTTGATCTAGTTTTTGACTTTGGACACTAGGATCGGATAGGACAGATTCTCCTTCATTCGTTTCATTGAGTGTTGGAGCAAGACTGTTGATGATTTCCAATGGCCTTTCACCACATCCTTGAGATCTCTTTCACCCCCAACCGCCGCTGAACCCGCCGCCATGCGAACCATCCTCAATCCGCATGCGTCTCCGACGCCCAGCCGATGAGCCGCACCCGGACCTCCAGGCGCTGCTCTAGGTGGCCCTCAGCTGCAGAGCTGCCATGAGCGCCTGCGCGCGACGGCCGCGCAGCTGGAGCGAGGTGGGAACCGGGAGTTGGGAAGACCTAGGACTAGGACGACGGAGAGTAGCAGCTGTAATATGCTGTAGTAATATGTCGATATCTTTGATATCTTTTGAACTTTCGTGGACCACTTGGACATGAGATCTATTCATTCATGCTCATGTCAGATTTATATACTCTATTCTCATTTCATTTTTTTAATGTTGAGAGAGGTAGCATTGGATCGCCATCGAGAAGCATGTTGAGACTATGGTTGTGACCATCCAACGCAATGACCCCATTCCAATTTTGCCTCTGGAGGCTTTGCGGAGGTGGGGGCGGCAAAGAGCTTCCTCTTGACGGATTGGACCCAACTGGTTGCTCGGTGGCGCCCAGGTGGCGATGTTCTGCGCCGGGCGGAGGCACCGGTGGAGACCTGGTGACCTGGGCCCCCAAAAGCGGCTTTGGCCACTAGCAGACCTGTTTGGATGGAAGGGGGATGGCTATCATCGCGGGAGTTGCCGGGTGAAAGATGGGAGGTTCCACCTAGAGATGTCGCACTTGGACCGTCGCCGCACGTGGACCGGTTTTTCCTGCAAGTCATTCTTCGGCACAGTGACCAAAGAAACGGGCTGCAGGACACGGGAGTTGCGATGTTCAATTGACAATTCCGATGATGGTTGCAACGTGCTGAAACGGCAGCCACCAGAAAGAACAACACATGAAGACAAACACTGACCATGTAACCCTTGACCAACTGCAGGCTCATTATACTGAAGGCAGTGGCTTCTACAAATGGCACAGGGACGGTGCCTTGGAGCGGAATTGGGTTTTGCCATCGGTCGGAACAAGCAGGCGACGAGTCGAACGACCATCGAAGTCAACGGCATCGGGTCGGCGGAAAGGCCAGGTTTCAAGATCTTCTGAGCTCCGTTTTGCGAATCCCGACCCCGACCCCCTGATTCTCCCAATGGCATGGTTTTGTCTTCCATTCCTGATGAACTCGCCGGTGTCAAAGCGATCCCTGCTTTAGTTGATCCCGACTGAGGATTGGAGTCTGACTGGTCTGGACTGCTGGGGTGGTATTATTGGCTCCAGCGAGGTGCCGTGAGGCCAGCAGGAGCTTTGGGACTTTTTCTTCCAAGCCACGACTGAAGACGTCCTGGAAGACATGGTCTGTCTCAAGCCTTGCTCCAGCTTTGGGACTCTTAGGTGTTTGGAAGCTAAAGAAAATTGGGAGCAGGTTCAGAGGTCTTTGCATGATTGCATGTTCCTCCAGCATCCATGACTTTGTTCAGGCGGCGGTCCGTAACCGGTATCCTGTATCTCAACGAGGAGGATCGAGAGCGTTGACCAGTGCTTTCCCTTGTGCCTTCCTGAAGTCCATAGTGTCCTGAAGTGTTTGAATCAGGGTCCCTTGTTGAACCGCTTGCAACACGTTGAATGGGGCTGGGGTACCCTGCGTCCCACCGGGGAAAGGACTGGCTCCCGACGTCCGGCGGCGCCTTGCGCTGCCGTGCTGCGGTCGCGGGCGTGGACGTCGAGAAAAAGAGCGGCCTTGCGGAGATCCTGCCGAAGGGAGGGTGGCTGCCTTAGAGGGAATGGGAGGACAAGGGAGCACAGGGAATGGATGCATTTTTATCTATCCACTTTTCATGAACATTTCTTTTTTTGAACACGTCGCCGTGCCTGGTTTGGTCACTGCCCCGTCGTGGTGTCTGGTCGTGTGCGCTCTTTGCATCAGATTTTCCGCTGCTGAGGCGTCTGGTGTTGTTTGATTCGCGGAAGGTGGAGCACGAGGCACGAGCCTGGCAAAAGATGTGAAGCTTCAGGTGGATGGCTTTCCAACTTCACATGCATGTGGGTGTATTGGAATAGGGAACCTGTGAGCCCCAATGGGATTTTGGCTCTTCCCTGGGTCTTTGACAGGTCTCCTTCTTTCAATACACCCATGTATACCTAGAGTAAAGATGAGTAGAGCTAGTACAGTTACGGAGCCCAAAGGCGATGGAGTATGAACCTTGAGATCTTCCAGTTCCACTTCTCCATCTTTTCCATCTTCCAAGATCTTCCACGGTGTCTTTTTGGGGTTGGAGGCCATCGCTAGTAGGTTGGAGGAAGCTATTGGGTTCCCTTTTCTAGTAGGAGTCTAATATAACTCAGCTCAGTCTAAACCACTGGGCCCAGTGCCGACTCTGAGCCGTTTTCTTCGGATCCCACCAGGTGGTGTCCACTCTTCGAGACCGTTGGGCCCTGACGGCGCCCGGGGTGCGGGGTCCACCCCACGCGGCCGGGATGGCGGAGCGAACGGAGGGTACAGCAAAGGGAGGGTTGTACAGCAGACACCAAACTGAAAACAGATAGTGAGAACATTGGGAACACCATGTGAACACCATTTTTTTGGATGCTTTGGGCTTTGGGGGTGCAGCCTGGGGGTGGTCTTGGGTGTGGTCTAGGGTCCAGGGATGGTGCGGGGCATCAGGACTCGCAGACGTCGATGAGTCGTGCCTGCACTTGAAGGCTTGGTTCCACGAGTGAGGCGCCGCCAGGAGAGGAGTTTGATCTCTACAGACTGGGATCAAGCGAAAGCCGAAAAGGCACGGCATACAGCGGCATACAGCTATCCTGGAGTCTCGAACGGTCGATACGTTGTCTTTTTTCTTATAGAAGTGTGTGATGGCTCTGTTTTTCTTGAGACTTGGCCTGGGACATGATTTCTTTCCTTTCTTTTTTACAAGGTGCAAATTTCTGCAGTTGGGGTGGAGTTCTTAGAGAGTCATACAGAGACTCTTGGACGCCCAGATCGTGAATAGAGGTAATCCAAATTGTTTAATCCATTCTGTGACACAGTGACCGAAGCCGACACAGAGCTCCTTTTTTTCCTGTTTACCAGAGGCCGGGGCACAGTGTTTCTGCATAAGCGTAAGAGGGCTTGTTACGCCTCAAGCTGTGTCTACCCCTCTTGTGACGGCACATCGAGGGATTTGTCCTTGCCATGGCATGCTTGTGTGGAAACCAGGTGATTATTGCTCAACCAGTGAGCATTTTGATGTTGGCTGCGCGAATCCTGGAGCAGTGTTTATCTACCGAAAGGTGAAGGTGATCAGACATCGTCCGTTCGTCGCAGAGAGTTCGAGTTCCACAAGTTGGATCTTCTGACTTGCTTC